CGTTTACTGTTTGGAATTAGTCTCTACATCTGTACTTTTGACTTCCTTTTGACTTCGGTCGAGCCGACCCATTTGTGCTACAAACATAACATATAGCTGCAGTGTAGCTCTACCACGTACAAGTACGAACACCGGAATTAAGTCGATGTGACAGGTAACTGATCGTCACTCCATATAGTGGGTTCTTTTTCCCCCATATTTTGACGACAGTGACGACATAGTAAGACATACAGAAAGTCGATGGATGCAGGTAGATGAGGACTGCGGTTTGCGGCATTCCTTGGAGGATGTCTATAATTTCAGCAAAAGATTGTAGTTTTCATTCTAACGTAATATACAATAAAGGTTGTGAATATATTTAAAATCATTTAATTTAGGCTTTAGTGGTGGCGCAAAAAGTACTTGGTAATTTATTTTTAATGGTGAATACCAATAATATTATATTTTTAACTTTGAATTCCATTTTATGCTAAACGAATGCGGAATTATTATAAAATTATGAACACTTCCTCGTGAGAGTGGCAATAAAAAAAATTCTCTAAAATGGATAAAAAAATTTACAAAACAAGCATTTTTTTACGTGCATGATGATTTAAATGGGTGCCCATGGAAGATTATTTTAGTATTATTAATTACTACCAAGTATTGACGCTGTAAATAAGGGTATCTAACACAACATATCATCTCCTGCAGGATCGAGAGGCGACAGAAGGGAACTGACACAGGCGATGTGTAGCAGTATATTCCTGATAATATCTGAAAATAATAGCAAACTCTGTGTAGTGGCGGTGTAAGAATATCCACTATTCCATATCATGCCGTGGTTATCGTAAAAGGCGACAGAGAGAAAAAATCAGGAGATTGGCAACAGTGTCTTTCTAACAATGAATTTAAAAAAAAAACTCATCTCAAACACTCGTGGCATTTATAGCGAATATCTTCCCTCTGATGCTATCTGATCTATAGGGGAAGCTTATTTGGTGCAGTGGACTTGCATAGGCTGTAACGGTAACAGTACCATTGTCGGCAAACCTATGAGGCAATCTATGTCCGTGGGAGGCCTATGTCTAGCATTGAACTTTCAATAGGCTGCAGTGATGTGAGCTGTGATTATTATTATTGAAACATGGAACGAGGAAGAAAATTGTTCTGTATTATTTAAACCTGGTACAAGGTTGCGCTTTGCTTATTACAAAGCACAACCTAGTACCAGGCTAAAACATATATCAAAACATATATATCATAACTAAGATAACTGAGATTTTGGTTTAATTAGAATGGGAAACGAGATCTTTAATTTTATAACATAACACCGTTACTTGAATAACAAAGACGATATTCTGAGGATAAATGTCCTTGACTCGTAGTTAGTAAGAGCCTGGTATTCGAATACACAATAGAACACAATGCGAAAATGAAAACAGGTTTTTCGTTATGAAGTCTTGTGCAAATGATTTGATCATTTGTAACTAAAATATTTATCCATGTTTATTTAATGGTAATTAGATTATTTAAATATTAATATTAATATAATCTAAACATATATGTAAAAAGTGTATGTTTGTAATATCGAAATAACTGCCTTTTATTGAACTGAGGGGGTTTGTTTATGCCTTAAAATATGAATAACATTTTTAAATTTTTTGTTTGTCGGCCAGTCTAACTCAGTTTCAAATCTTCTTGCCTTGTAATCGCTCAACGTGCGATGAAAGAGACTTTGAATTTTTCTGAGGAATGTATAATGTAACTAGGACATCCGCAGAATAACAAGACGGAATGGCAAATGACATAGTGCCCTGTTAGGCAGACAGATAGTAGCTCATCTTCAGAATGGCTGAATCAATTTGGATGAAACTCCACGAACAGATAGATAGCAGTATCAGATCTTCGCTACCAGAGACACAGAGATTTCTCGTGTTTCTTCCTACTGAAAGGCCTCTGTCACTTTACTGCTTGCGTCAAATAATTACCTACAATCGCGAGATGCCCTGGGCTACATACGCAGTCAGGGCGAGCTCGTTTTAGTTGATTGTAGTTAAAGTTTTTAATAACACTGTTTACGTAAATAGTTTTTTTGTGAATACATGTTGAAATAGTTTTTGTTTAGTGTTTATTACATTTAATTGTAGGATAAAATAGTTGAATAACTTTCAATGTAATTAAAAATAATAATTCAACATGTTTGTTACCTACCTATCTACGATTATTCGACAAATTATAATAGAAAAATGTCGAACCTACTATAATTGTTGCGTGGATGATGCATACGATTCAAATATATTATCATTTTTAAGTTACGGAAGGATATTGAAAGATGAATTTATTTCATTTTTTTTGTAAGAAGAAGATGATAATTTGTAAGATGTACTACAGAAGTAATACCTGAAAACTTTATTGCAAAACTTAGTTGAAATTTACTTAATTATCCAAGTACTTACTCACATACCTATACTTGTCTTTGTTAATAAGATTTTAATTTTGTAGACTACCGTTACATCAGATTTAATAAACTAAAAATCCTCGGAAAAGAACACCGATTCCTACAAAGGATGATACGTGAGGCTATTGAAATTAAGAAAAAACATCCTAATTTCAATAGAGAAGATGGATGGGTGTTGCCATCTGGATCCTATAATTAACAAAACTAAATCAAAACCAAAGCATACCAATGCAAGACTTCAAGATACTGGAAGCTCGCTCTGCGTAGATCGGATCAAAAATTAATATTTGAAAACTGAAGGTAGCCGAGCCGGGCTAAATGTGATATTGGGACGTCTAACATCTCAGTCCCCCCCTCCCGTGACCATGAGTGCTGTAAAGCACGCGAAACGCCAGGAATAAAACAAATCTTATCTCGGTTTATTATTATCATTGTTTTACATTACCTAATTCTTCCAAGCCAAGCATTGTAATTGCGACGAATGGCCTCGCAAATTACATACGTTGGACGTCACAGAACTCACATAGTATCCTTATTACGATCAGTCGATCATAGTTAGAATAAGGCACCTTACCTAAGTAACTTACCCTTTCGCAATGTATTTTTTACTCTTTATTGATAGCCGTTCGTAACCACGGAAAGTCTGCCATGACGTAAGAAGAGGAAATGATGCAAAGTAATAGGGGCCCTCGCGCGCAGTGGTAAATTTTTATTTACCTTGCGCACGCGATGTATGTAATTAATAATAATTATGTAGGCTATTAAAACATCGACAAGCAGCAACATTAAATGACTGAAACTTCTGTACGTAGTACTTTTATTCGCATTGTTGGTCAACCTGTTATTATTACACACAAGTGCCTGTATGTTAGATGTATTTATTGAGTAAATATATTTTACAAAAAACATACATTTAATTTTGACGATTGTTACAAAATTTGACTTAGTCTAATGTGACATACGTCTTATCCTTTCAGATTCATTTTAAGTAATTCAATGTACGTTTCAGTATCTGCACAAAGGAGCAAGAAAGTAATATCGCATATTGGTACATATTAGCGTGCAGACGTTTCAGGTGTGTTATGCAGTGATTGCGCTTTATGAACTCAATAAAGTCTCCTTTAGTAATGTGTATATCTTACATATCTTCAACTAAAATATATTGTTATTTAGAATTTCGTTTAAAACGTGGAACATGCATATTTTTTATTTATTAAGATATAGCTAACAGATAAATCTGTATTGACCGTGTAGTAGACAGTGTAAGAAAATTTACTACCTCATATCGTCCCGGGGTTTTGTAAGAGACAACAGATGGAAACAAATCAGCAGATAGGCAGCATCATCGGTCTTATAACAACTAAAATAAAAACAACTGCGGCTGCCAACCCGCTTGCCAAGCGTGGCAGCTACGGCAAATATGAGGTTATCTATTGGGAAGACCTATGTTAAGCACTGGCTTATAATAGTGTTGCGTGCCACAATTAATGTCACTTGCGCCATCTAGTGCCAAGTAGCAGAACTAGGAGAGCTTTCTAGAAAATTCCATGCTAGAACTTTCCCTCTAGCGCCATCTAGTATCGAGTGGTAGAACTAGGAGAGCTTCTAGAAAATTCCTTGTTCGAAGTTCAACTACGAACACCATTCAGTGAAAACATTTGACTTTTTTACCACGACACCTATTACTAAGCTAAAAAGTATGGAATAAGAGGACTCATATTGCAGTGGATAAAATCATACTTATCATCAAGAGAACAGTGTGTGGAAGTTATAAGCCCTAATAAAAATAATATTTTGACAACATTCAGATCGCGACTAGTTCTTAAGTACGCTGGAATTCCTCAGGGAAGCCTTGGGCCTTTTTTGTTTCCCTCTCCCATGCATTTTGTTTATAGATGAAATGTGCGCTGGCCGGGCCAGTCATTCATGTTACACTGGGCTGTTTGCACGACCGTGGCTTATGCACGACTCTGTGTTATGTAGTTTTTGTCAGCTAGTGATTTCATCTGTCGATAGACTTCACGCTTACGTAAATATGCAATTTTCACAATTTGAATTGGCAGCTACTGCAATTACCATCGATGATGAAGTATTGGAAAAAACGAAGCGAAACTACTAAAAGAATATGGGGTGTACATCCAACCTGGAGAAAGCGAGAAGCAGAAGGAGAATTTGCTTTACTTTACAAAGAATTAATAGATGATGAGAGCAAGTTTTATGGTTATTTTAGAATGTCTAAAGAATGCTTTACTTTTTAACTTGAAAAAGTAAAACCAGACCTAACCAAAAAAAATTACAAGATTTCAAAAGCCTATATCTCCCATCGAATGATTAGCAGTCTGCATCAGGTAAATAACAAATTGATATGCACTAAATCACATAGTATTTAAAAATGTAGTATTTAAAAATTGACCCGTCTCACAACCATCTATCACAGCTGGTTGTAAGATGGGTTGATTTTTTCTAAATACTTCATTTTCAATTTTTCAATAATCAAAATTGCATTGTGAATGAAAAAAAGTAAAAATTTAAATAATTCGCATAGTATTTATTCATTTTATTAGTCTGCCGTGAACTCTGAAAATAAAGTAGACAAATTATTAGATTCCAAAGGCGTAAGTTCCGAAGGCGAAGGTTCCGAAAGCGTAGGTTCCGTAGGCGTTGATTCCGGTGTTGGCGTTGGTGTAGTCATCGGAACCGGTGCATACACCGACCTTGAATTAGTAGACGACGCCGACGTTGTTCCACTCATTGGAGATGTGTAAGAAGAAGGCTCTGATGACAATTGCTCCCACTCCAAATCTTGTACTACTGCAAATATTCTTCCTTTTGCAAGATGCTGATAGTAAGGGGAAAAAGATTTTATGGTGGCTGCCAAACCGTTGAAGAAAGCATCAATAGGATGAATGTCTTGTGTGTTGGACTTTTCTTTATTTTTTAGAATGTATTCCATTAATGCGCTTGACGCAGAGGACTGGGATTGTGGGCACTATACGACGACGATTGTGTGCAGTTGCAACGGTTGCATTGCGATTGCGGTTGCCGGAACGAGTGAATTGTGCAGTTGATGGGGGATATGGATTCGGATCAGCAGGTGGCGTAAAATTTGGTTCACTAATAGCTGGTGAGCGATCTTCCTGGTGCTGCTGTTCATCGGTGTTAATTGTTTCGTTGGGCTTAGTAACTGGCGAAGTAACCGTTTCGTTTTGCGTCTCTTCGTTTTCAGACTCGATACTTGTTATTGTATTTCGATCCTGTATATGAGGCAGTAAAAATTCAAGCTCTCTTCATATTTATATTTTTTTATAGCCACAGCACCCTGTCCACTCCTGATTTTACGTTTGTTTCTATGTTTTTTGAACTGGTCCCGTATGTTTGCCCACCTTTTTTTTACATAAATCATCTGCAAAAAGATAGTATAGAATGAACAAGTTAAGTAATTTTCTTTACAACCTGTATAAATGGTACTGTTAATACGTAATAGCTCACTGTAGTACACAGGTACCGCGAAATTATACCATTATTATTTTTTCAGGTTCCTGGCTACTGGGGATTCGTTGAAAACTACTTCGTACAGTTTTCGATTGGGGCATTCAACTGTGACCGAAATTGTACATAGCACATGTCGATCTATCGTTAAAAGATTTAAGAAAGACGTTATACCAGAACCAACAGAAGAAATGTGGCGTAAAATTGCCGAAGATTTTGAAAACCTTAGAGGTTTTCCAAATTGTATAGGCGCATTGGATGGAAAAATTTTGTTATTGAAGCCCCAGCCAATAGTGGTTCTATATATTTTAATTATAAACACACATTCTCAATTGTTTTATTGGCGTTAGTGGACATGCTACAAATTTATTGCAGTTGATGTTGGCGCTTACGGACGAAACAGTGATGGTGGCATTTTTGCACAATGTAATCTTGGAAAACGTTTAGAAAATGGGACGCTTCATGTACCTATTGGTAAAAATTTACCCGGTTCCTCTAAGTTTGCACCATATGTAATAGTTGGTGATGAAGCGTTTCCTTTTAAAACATACCTAATGCGACCGTATCCAGGACACCAAGCAACAGGTGACGCTAATAAAACGAATTTCAATCATAGACTGTCTTTGGTCCGGCGACTAGTCGAAAATGCCTTTGGTATTTTGACACAAAGATTTAGAATATTTCAAAGAAGAATGAAACTTGCTCCAGAAAATATTGATTACATTATTCTATCTACATAAGTACTGCAAGTAATTTTTTATGCGAACAAAAAGATTACACAGGGCTTATCAATCATAGTGCACAAAATGCGCAACCACATTTATTAAATCCATTGAGCGTTCAACCAGGAAGACCGGCTAATGATGCATTTGCGGTAAGAGAAACGTTTAAAGTTAGCGTCAACAGCGGGACGTAATTTTATAGGACAACAGTATCAAGAATATATACATACTTACACTATAATATACTTCTTATAATTTATCTAACATATTCTAAAATACCTACTAAAAACCGATAATCCCACTCACATGTACTTACATGTTGTCGTAAAGTTATTGGTGACACTTGAATAACTATTATAAATGTAAATTGAAATAAAAGTTACAACTTACCAGATTGTTTTATTTCGTCCGAAATGGTTTTCCAAATAATATTTTTGTATTTGTTATCTAAATACTTAGGATGGCTCATATCGTAAATCACAGGGTACTTGCGCACACATTCTAATAATTTTTCATCGTCCATTTTGCTGTTGAGCTGCTCACTTCACTAAGATTTGACGTTGACTGCTCTCCGGGCGCCCGGGCGCATATGTTCATGTTACAACGTGTCGGGGCCGGACCGTGCCGGAGCTGGGAAACAATACCCACCGACATTTCAACGCCGTGCCCCGGCCGAGTCCCGGCGGCGTACGACCGGGGCACGGCCGGGCCACGGTCAGGCATGAATCGCTTCATACAAAAAGTACACCACGGCCCGGCCGCGCCACGTTGTAGCGTGAATCATCCTTTAATCATAAAAAATAATAATGGATCATTCATAATCATTTTCGTAATAATGTTTATTACATTATTACCAAAACGACATAAAATGTTAAATATATACATAAATGATGCAATTTCACGGTTACATAATAATAATTTAAAGGTCAACATGGCTGGTGGAGCCACGTGTTTAAGGCTGCCGAAAATCTAGTTCCCCGGTCGAACCTTAAACCTATTACGCGTGATATTAACTAAAGTGGACTGTATATGCGATTGCTTCTACGCTTACGTAAAAGCGACTACTATAGCATGCGGTACAATGCACTCGCTCTTCCCTAAACTAAAACTATTACTTGCCAAATCGATGAAAGGAATCCTGCTTGATTAGGAAAACACAAAGTTGGAGCGGGTTAAAACTATTATCAAGCAGGTATAATAATGGATATTGACTCACCGGGGTTCTTCTATCCTTTAGAGCACTATAGCGGCGACTTCCGGAACTTCTTCTGGACAGACACTCTGGGGCCCCAGGGGTGCGTCGGGAGAGAAGCGTTGTAGTTCAACGACGGCTGCGGCGGGAAGAAAGAGGCCGCGCATCGGTCGCGCGTGCCTTATATATCCTCGGCTCCGATGATTATGCGATGTTCTAGAATCATCTTCTTTCCCCTCCCACCCCACCACCCCGATGTGTCGATAGGAGGGTACGAATGATATCGTTTTGGAAAGGAATAACGATTCGGCAAGTCCTACCGTCATACAAAAAAAATGCGAATGGTTTTCCGCGCAACCATCTCCCCCGCCCTTGAAGATTTCCTTCAAAAAATAACTAAAACAACTAGAGCTAAGATCAACTAACAAATAACTAACTAACGCTAAGATTACCTTAATTCAACTACAATTTTAATCTAGAAAGCTAATTTAAATTATGGAAGAGGCAAGGGGCACAAACGGACAACAGGACGTAGGTAAGACCCAACCGTGGTCTTAACGCGAGCTATCCTAATTACTCCGTCGGAACCGGGGAAGACCTCTTCGACAATTCCTAACGGCCAGTGGAGAGGCGGCGCATTCTCCTTAGTGAGCACAACTACAGTTCCTACAGCTAAAGGCTCTGTCGCTGTGTTTCATTTTTGCCGAGACTGCAAAGTATGCAAGTATTCCATCCTCCATCGTTTCCAAAACGATTGCACTAACCGATCTAATAATTTGTGGCGTGCGGAAATGCTAAGTCTGTTCTCATCCATATCCGCGGCGGGCAGATACCTTAGAGGCGTTAAATTCAAAAAATGTGCTGGAGTTAGAGCCAGCGGTTCCGAGGGGTCACTAGATAACGTCCGACAAAGTGGGCGGCTATTCATTACGCATTCAATTTGAGCGAGCACCGTACTTAGCTCTTCGAAGGACAGAATTTGATCTCCTATTACTCGGTGTAAGTGGCTCTTTAGACTCTTTGATATTGGTCTCCCAATTGCCTCCAAAATGACTCGCGGCTGGGACGTTCAGAGACCACTCAATGCGGTTCTCGGCTAGAATGTGAGCGAACTCCGAACTATAATACTTGCTAGCTAAGAGCTCATGTAGTTCCGATAGAATACGTTTTGCACCGACGTAGTTCGTACCGTTATCCGAATATAATTTACTTACAGGGCCTCTACGGGATAGAAATCTTTTAAATGCACCCATAAAGCCTGCTGTGCTTAGATCACCAACAAGTTCTATATGCACAGCTCGAGTAGTTAGACATACGAAAATGCAGACATAAGCCTTTGTGGATCTTATACCACGCCCGCGAGTGAGCGTGACCTTAAACGGACCAGCGAAATCAGACCCGGTGTGCGTGAAGGGCTTTACCGATTGTATCACTCTACAAGATCTAAGTTCCGCCATTTCCGGAAATGACGGCTTGGGGCGTGCCCGAAAGCAAGCTATACATCTGTGCACCCGATTACGTATTAAACTACGTGCAGAAAGAATCCAATAATTCTGACGCAAGATCGACATCAATAAATCGGGGCCAGCGTGTGAGTTCAATTTATGATGGTAAATGACTAATAAGTTCATGATATGGTCTTTACGCGGTAAAACTATAGGGTGCCGTTGGTCGAAACTCAACCGCGAGTTGGACAAGCGTCAACCTACCCTTACAATCCCATCCTGTAAAAATGGCTTAAGGCGTTGAAAGGCGCGACTGCAAGCTCTATTCGATTGTAATCTTGTAATTTCTTCAGAGAAATGCGCACGTTGAAGTTCACGTAATACTAGCGACTCGGCATAGTTGTAATCGGATGCTAAGACATACGAACGTCGCGGTAAAAGCTTCGCGAATCGACAAACGTAAATTACGCTACGCAATAATTTCGACCAAGAGGACAATCGGTTCGCCAGAGCAATGATTGGAGAAACCTCGCTCGAAGCCTTCGCCACTAGAGCGTGTCTCTTCTCTTTCGGCGGTTGTGACACTGACGAAGGTTCGAAATCGGTTATTGGCCATTGCGAGGGATCCAAGTGAACCCAAGAAGGTCCGTGGAACCAAAGCGGGTGGTCCATTATTTGCATCGGGGGTGAGTCCCCGGGATAGACAATCGGCAGGGTTTTCCGTACCGGATACGTGATAAAAGTTCCGCGTTTCTAACTCGTCTTGGATCTTGGCCACTCGGTTCGCGACAAACGTATCCCAACGGTGGGGTGAAGAATGAACCCAACATAAGGCGACGGTGGAGTCGGAAAAGGCAAATATCCTTTCTATGTGAACTCTATCCCTACATGCGCTGATAACTGCGGTAATAAGCTTGGTGAGTACTAATATTGCGCAAAGCTCTAAGCGCGCCAGAGAGACAACCTTACGGGGGGAGACTCTCGACTTAGAACTAATGAGGCTAATCGAGTTTCTACCATTATTCTGAACGTGGAAATATACAACGCCCCCGTAAGCCTTCTCGCTGGCGTCTGCAAACCCAACGACCGTTATGCTACTATTTCT